ATACTGGGCACCCGTAAAGGGCCATGGACCGCACAACCCCCGAGTAGAGTCTCCTGCAGGAGTCATCGGGTCAATTAATGTTGGGCAGCAGCCGCGCCAAAGCACGCGCTGCCCCAACCAACTTGGGGACCAGACCTCGGACATGATATCCGAAGTCCCATCGGCCATCGAGTACGAGCCCCAGATACCTGATCGAGGGCTCGATGCCGATGCGAGTGCCTCCTACCGTGAGGCTAGATCCCTCAGGCGGCTTCCTCCGAAGCCCGTGGAAGAACAGGGCCGCGGACTTGTGCAGAGCCACCTCGAGACCCAGCCGTCGGATACGCTCAACGACTTGGGCAACCCCGGCCGTGGCCCTCAGGGTTGCCTCGTGGTGCGTCTTGCCGCGCGCCGTCACAAGTGTGTCGTCCGCGTAGCACACGACGGCGACACCATCCAAGAAGGCACCACGAAGCACCCAGTCGTAGCCGATGTTCCACAAGAGTGGCCCTAACACCGACCCCTGCGGAACACCGCACGACATTTCACGCCTACCGAGACCGGTCCTACTGGGGTAGACGAAGGCTTTCTCCGACAAATATGCCCCGACTATGCGGCGGAGGTAGAGAGGCACTTCGTGATACACGAGCGCCTCCCTGATGCAGCTCCAGGGCATAGTGTTGAACGCGTTGGCGATGTCCAAGGACACCGCCAACACCACTTCGCCCCGGGAGACTGCTTCCTCCGCCAGAGCCTTCACGCGCATGAGCGCATCCACGGTGGAACGCCCCTAACGGAAACCGTACTGGTTGTCCGCCAGATCCGGCCCAACCATCACGAGATGCTTGACGAGGCACCTTGCAATCACTCTTTCAAAGAGCTTGCACACCTCGTCAAGCAACACTATGGGCCGGTAGGCGGACGGTGAGTCCGCCGGGCGCCCGTCCTTTCGGATGAGGACCAGTTTCCCCGTCCTCCACAAGCCTCAAGCGCCGTAGGCGGAGCCATCTGTGGCGGAGTATGCTCCACCATTCGCGTTGGGAACAGGGAGCCAACGACCCTCTCAAGCAGCTCTGGCTGAAGACACCGTGTGAGCGGCGGGGCCCATGGGCGCATCTTGCCCCTAACCATACGGTAGGGGCGTCCCCACGGATCCCGCTCCAGTGTCTCCAGCATCTCGCGGCGGGCCTCGCTCTTGGCCCGCTTTATCGCTGCCTGAAGGGTCCTCTTGGCAACCCTGTAACCCGCTACCAGCTCCGCCTCTCTCGCTGCCGCATCTTCGGGGCGGCGACGCCTACTGCGGAACCTGGACCACCGGCGGCGCGCAGTCATGCAGGCTTGACGCAGCCGTGCGATCTCCGGCGACCACCAGTAGACCTCGCCGCGCCTCGCAGTATTGGGCTGAGCCCTAGGCATCGCCGCATCGCAGACGCGGGTCTTGGCCTCCCGGAACCACTGTGCCTCAGCATCGACGCCGACAGGCCTGTCCGGCGCAGGAGCCCAGGCCTGTACGATGGCGGCTTCCAGGAGGAGGTCGCGATCTAAGCGCTTGAGCGCCCAACGTGGTTCAGGTGGTGCCGGCCGGTTCTGACCGGCGCGCCATCTGTAGGAGCGGAGACGTCAAACCGAATATATCGGTGATCCGAACCTGTCTCCTCCCCGACAACGACGCGCCAGCCTTGGACACGACGCGCTAGCGAGGGGCATGCGAACGAGATGTCCACGATCGAACTACCCCTCGCCGTTACGAACGTGGCCACGGCCCCCCGGTTTAGTAGAACTAGGCCGAATCTTTCAGCCCGGTTCTCCAATGCCCTGCCCCTCGGGTTCGTGCGCAGGGAACCCCAAGCCTGCGACCAGGCGTTGAAGTCCCCCAGTACAAGAACCGGGTGGGGGCGACGGGCATCGACGACGACGGCCAGCTGAGCGAGCCATTGCTCCTACTCAGTTAGGTTTCGGTTCGGCGTGAAATAAGCGGCCACGACCGCTATATCCCCAACTATCGCCGCTACACAGCCCCGTCCCCTTGCAACTACTGCAAGAGGTGGAGTGCCGGCTGCAGTACCGTGCACCAGGGCCGCCGTGCCGTCCAAGTCGGTCTCCCAGGCAGGCCCGAGAAACCGATGGACATATGGCTCGGCGACAGCGGCGATGTTGATGGACCACTGTGCCATGCTCTGGAGCAGAAGATCCTGAGCATCGGCACCGTGGCCTACGTTCACCTGGAGGATGCGGAGATGTGGGTCCATCACTGGACTTCCATCCCCGCATCCCGCAGCGAACTTTGCTGCTGTCCAGCGGCACTCCCCGTCTGGATCAGCGGCCCGGAGGCGGAAGGTCGGCCTCCCGGCTTCGGTCGTGATAGGGCACAGGCCTTACCACCAACCCGGTGGTCGGCAGGCCTGCCCCCCGCTGCGCACCTAAAGCAACGCAGCGGAGCGTTGCAGCCAACTGCCTTGTGACCGGGCTGGCCACAGCGGAAGCATCGGTCACCTACGGTGGCCTCCGCCGTGCAGTGCACCCCTACGTGCCCCACCGACAGGCACCTGAAGCACCTTGCCGGTCGGGCCTGCAGGAGTCGTGCCTGCGCCCTCAGGAAACCTCCGACCAGGAGGCTCCGTCCATCGGCGACCTTCTGGGCCGCCGCGATGGGGCAGCTGACAACCGCTGCCCCCTGTCCACCGGGGCCGAAGCGTATTGCTCCGGCCTTGGTCTGCATCACCCTAAAGTTGACTGGGAGAACGGCATTAAGTCCAGCTTTGTCACATTTGTGCATAAAGCGTAATAAATAATAAAAAAATAACCGTTCAATTCGCGGCTAAAATTGACCTGTTTTAAGAGGACATGGTAGGCCAACAGATCCAGAGACTCAGTATTCCCCACGTAAACCCGTACCGAGGGAGCTCCAAAAGCTTTTTAACGCGGTCCTGTTCAACGGGAGAGCTGCGGAGGCGTGGAGTAGAAGTGTAATCGTCCTGTTCTTCAAAAAGGGTGACAAGACCATATTGAAGAACTATCGACCACAAGCTCGCGACCGCTCGCTCGCTCGCAAGAACACGACCACGACCACAAGCTGTTTTCAAGAGTCATCACGAACCGTCTGGCACGAAGAATCAACGAATTCCAACCACCGGAGTAAGCTGGGTTTCGGAGCGGATATGGTACCATAGACCACATCCACACAGTGCGAAAAATTATATAGAAGAACGAAGAGTATAATAAGCCCCTATGTCTAGCATTCGTGGACTATGAGAAGGCCTTTGACTCGATCGAAATCTGGCCTGTTCTGGAGTCCCTGCAGCGTTGTCAAGTAGATTGGCGATATATCCAAGTGTTGAGGTGTACTAGAAGTACAGAATCAGCAAACAAGGCCCATACCGTTGCATTGAGGAGTGAGACAACGGATGTTATTTCCCCGAAATTGTTCACGAATGCAATGGTTGACATGTTCAAGACGCTGCACTGGAAAGGGCGTGGCATCAATATCAATGGCGAATACATCTCCCACTTGCGATTTGCAGACGACATCGTCATCATGGCAAAGACTCTGCACGATCTACAACAGATGCTGAATGACCTAGGCACCTAGCTGACTCTTCTATCGCATCGGCCTACGGATGAACTTGGGTAAAACCAAGGTCATGTTCAATGAACATAAACTAGCGGAACCGATTGCGGTACGCGGTGCTGCTCTCGAAGTTGTACAAAAATATGTGATCGCCCAAAAATGCGATTGGGCCGAACATGTAGTGTTTGGCGAGCGGAAGCCTCTTGCTTTCTACGTGATTGGTTCCAATTAGGTGCGGCGTCAATCCGCGGGTGACCTTAAATAACGTGGTCCGGGTCCTTCCCAGATCCTGAGGTGGCACTCAGTTGGTTTTTAAATGGAAATACCACGGTCTCCTTTTTTTACGCGAGGAATAGGGCATGTATGGGACTCCCGAAGAACTGGTTTACCCACGAAACCTCACGACGGAGTTCCGGTTGGTCCTCCGTCGTGGGTTTTAGAGATCTCGTGTCCGATTCGATTTTTGCTCCATAGAGGGTCATGCCTATGTAGAGGTCCACGCCTATGTAGAGGTGGCGAACTTCTTCCTGTGGTTCGTTCGTAGTATGGTATCAGCTTTTCGTTTCATCGCTAGACACAGATAGCAACATTGAGAGAACGCGATTCCAATTACGAGTACCAATCCCATTTTTTAAACCAATTTTAACCAATAACCAATTTTTTAAACATTAAAGTGGATATAGTAGGTTATCCTTATAAGATAGACATTAGCCATCGCGGACTTTTCTATAGATCTATGAAAGGAGAACAATATTGTTTTGTTATATCTTAAAGGGATTTGGCAGCGTTTTCGATGAAAGCTCTCAGTCGCCTAGTTTTTTCCGTCATCGTCAACAATTATCATCATATTTTAACAAAATTACAGAACACATAAATGATTTATACATATGAACCTTCCTCATGAATCACTTTATCCAGTAGTGAAAACCATAGAAAAATCCGTTCAGTGGCTTTTTAAATTATCATGTTCATACAGAGAGGCAGATGCTGTGGGGGACTTATAATTTACTTGTTCTATAAAATGTAGTGATAACGATTAGTTAGTGATAGTGATAATATTTTATTAGTGTGATAGTGTGATAGTGATAGTATTTTAATAGTCCAGACCTTTCATTTGATACCTATAATGACGGGGTTGAAAAAAAATGTTATCCACCATTTTGTGGTGGCGGCCATCTTGGACTTACAACGAAACTGAATATATATTATTGTATTGTCATCAAAACTAGAGGTGTGCACCAAATTTCAGATCTACCCATTTAAAAACACAGTAATTAAAAATAAATTTCATAAGATACTTGTAACCGATTTTAGAAAGTTAGCCATATTAATGAGTTTATTCTTTTTTTCATAAACGTGTGAGTAATTTTATATTAGAAGACGATGTTAAAAATAAATTGTGTAAAATGAATTAATCGCTAGTGTAAGTAGTCAAAATGAAAGTAAAATGAACCTCAGGATCTCCATAATTCTCTGCTCTGAGCAGGAATTCATCGCCGTAATTTAGTTTGCCACGAAAGTCTTCGCCATGTACACTGCAATCAGACATTTCTATTTTACAGTCATACGAAAGTATGCCAATATAATACTGCCGCCATAATGGAAAAAGACGCATCTACATAAATGACAAACCGGAGAAAAAAAATAGTTTCCATTTTATAAATTGTAAAATTCGCTGTCTCCAGGAAAATGAAAAAAACATTAATATTTTTATGTTAGTGGATGCCTGGCAGGTTGATCTCTATAATAATGATTGAATATTGAAAAAAAATAATTAAATTCATTTAAATAATCCACATTTTACTTTTCATTGTAGTACAAAAATTGCAAAGAAATACTTTATACTACAAAGAAAAGACGTTTCTGGCTAGAAACGTTTTTTTTACGTAGTAATTTATCGTACGTCTTTCTTACTAAGTAATATAACGCGTTACCAGATAAAGAAACCTAAAATAAAGGAACGTTTCTAGCCACTTACTGCGTTTCAACTTAGTGAAATAAAAAAATAATCAGTATTAGAAATACCGATGCGCCCTTAAAAGGGTGCAACCCTTTTAATACTGATTAAATAATTGACATGTTTACCACTTATACTATAAAATACACAATGAGTTAAATCAACTTTTTATTGTAAATAAAATATTCATATTAAAATAAAATTATGATTTCTTCACAAATAAAAAATTCTATCAAATTTTAATCATTAATAAAAATACTAATCACAACAAATGTTCAATCTCTTTCAGAAACAAAAAAAAATTAAAAAAAAAAAAATTAAACATAAAAAGTAGTAATCATAGAATGAACAGTTTTTTATAACTTTATAAAAGCTAAACTTTTTCATCAATCATTAACATCATCATCCTTTTGTGTAATCGCTGACTTGGGCTCTTGAGTAACTCCTCTACACTGTTTATTTGGTTTTGGCGACGGTATACCAGATTTTATATTTTTTACTCTTAAAAAGTCGAGTGATTATTCTTGCTCTTTGTCAAAATCAGTTTTGTAACGAATAATGTGTGTGCCTTTGAAGAATGTTACTTCGCAAATGTCACTTAGATAGGCTCAGATGAAAGGCTCACTTAGATGAATTTTGCAGTTTGTATGTTGAAGAACAATTTTCGAACTGATAAAAATTTGCCACATTCATAACTTTAACAGTGATATTGGTTCTGGCGTTCGATACTGTTTGGTAAAAATCTTCAAATTCATAAATATGTTTCTTTTCATTCATAGATAACTCTACCTGGTGATGAAATTCGTCTGCAGCCATGAATGTGTGGCCTACTTCTAAATATTTGAGCGTTATTGTTTCAAAATTGACTTCGACTGAGTTGACGAGATGAAGTAAATAGGAATATAAAGTCCAGTTTTTGTTCTGAGCTGCACAATTGTCCAACCAAATAACAATATGTTTTAGGTCTCTATTTGCATATAAAAAAGCTCTGAAACAGCTGGCGATGTCACCCAGTTTGCGGCCGGAAATTGCTTCATGCCATATCGCAGCAAATGTTTTAAATTAGTTAATTTTAAATTTACCTATTGGAACAAAACTTTCATTGAACACTATTATTCTTGGGCAAAACATAACAATTTTAAATTCTTCAAGTCGTGGAAGCATAACGACTTTCTCCAAATCCGCAGCAAAATAGGCAATGTCTGAATTAATATCAGTCTGATTTTGTTTTTCGACGTCAGATTTATATGCTTGCCTGGCTGTTGTATATTTGTTCCGGTGTCTTTCATAACCTCGGCACTCTTGACAATTTCTATGTCTTATGTCTTTAAATTCCGGGTTGTGAATAAAATATTTTTCACAAACTTCACACTCTTCATGTCCAAGTTTTGAAAAGCTTATATTTAACTTTTTCAATTGTTTTCTATAGTAGTCATAAGACACATGTTCGCCATCAGACGGATGCTGTCTGCAAAAGTCTTGATACATGCTAGCCACTGTTAGGTCAGACGGAAGATATTTTCTATTTGGGGCGTGCTCGCGGCGGTAATGGGATATGGAAGGGTTGAATGAGTTTATGTGTTCTAAGACTTTGGTGTTGTCAAACTTATTAGGATTGGTTCCTCGATTATCTACAATAACTGGGGTCTCATGTATCAGGGTGTTTAAGGCGTTCCGTACAGACTTATCGTTTTTCCTATTGTAACCTAATGTTTCTAGAAAAAAAACTTTGCAGACATTGATTTTAGTCCCCGTTTCATTTAGCAGAAAATACGAGATACTTACATTCCTAGGCAATTTTCGATTTCCTGTAACAGTTTTTCTCTTAGGCGTTTCTTTAGACGTGTTGTGTATTATAAAATATTTTTGTTCTTTCCAAGTCAAGTTTCTGTAGCAATAATTATTTTTTTCTTTTTATAAGCAAAGTAAAGCGTCTTTTCATTCTATGATCGAATAGTTATTTTATAAATTATTAAGACGCTTCTACTAACATGCGTCTTTTCAACTTAATATACGTCATAAATGCCTTTCTTATTTAGTAAATTTTGCATTATCAAGTAGAAGTGCCTTATTTATTAGTGATGTTTTTAGGGTTCTCTTTAGTTTTTGCAAAAATAAAAAATACTGGTAGGTGCGTCTTTTTCTTCTGATTCCGAATATATAAATAGTGAGATTTTGAAAAAAATGTTAGAAGCGTCTTTTTTTCTTATGACGGCAGAATAGAGCTGCAGAGTTTGTTTGAACGCATTTTTCTCTGGCACCAGTAGTTGAATTATTATCATTTCTTTCTGCATTAGATAGTGTTACCTTTAAGAAATTTTAGGTTATTATTTAACATCAGTGAGATATGTGGATCACTAGAACCAATGGCCATAAACGCAAGTAAAACCGCTGGTTGGTGATGAGAACAGCTAGTTAAGTATACTCGTATTATGACAAGATTGCAATATGCTAACAGATCTGCCATAGATTAACGATTAATTAATTAATTTTAAATATGAAGTTGTTTACCTGACGATAAGGAATGTATTCCGGCAACAAGGTGTAGTGATAGGAGATAGGGTCATCATACATCCATCACATATATTCTGTGTATAGTCCACTTGACGCTCTCGTACTAAGCTAGATAATGCCAGACCGTATTGTGGCTTAGTACCAGGAACCACAGGTTTAGCTAAAATAAGTTTTTAAATTTAAATCAAACTGTTTTATTCTACGACATTCACACAACGCAATTTGGGCCCAAACCAAAACAAAAAGCTTGTACTATGAGTGCTATGCTAGCTAAACAACTGATATAAATACATATATAATAGATATTATACTAGCGATCCGCCCCGGCTTCGCACGGGTGCAGCGCAGATACTACCAATATTACTAAAGTGGTGTCAGTGTGGAGTAATTAATTATACTATTATTATGATAAGACTATACTTCAGAACATCTTTATATTATGTGATCTATCTATATATATATAAGAGATTTCCACGTATATAGTCACTCATCACGATATCTCTGGAACCATTAGAAATAAAGACATGAAATTTGGTAGGAATATTCTTTTCACCGAGTAGAGGTCAGTTAAGAAAGGATTTTAAGAAATTATTTTTTTTTATTAAATAATGTAAATAGCAAAACAACGTTTGCAGGGTCAGCTCGTATTTTATATGCCAGCTTCGCTTCTACCGGCCGCTGCCACCGTAAATGGACGTACGCCCCGCATTTTAAATCTCTGATATCTGCTAAGATATTCATTTTAATGATATGCTGTAAAACGAAATTTTGATCTACATTAAATGCACAACCTAGCTAACGTAATTATAGGATAAGGAATAATACTGTATTGTTTGAAATAGCTTCGTAAATTACCCATATTTTTTGTATTATGTAAAAGATAAAAATGGTTACTGTGGTTTGTCCTTAGGAGATTAGACATATACAATTTTATTATTTATAATTCCGTAGTGCATTATTTTAGTATATGTCCTAAGGTTTAGCCAGCCTTTGCAATGTAAGCGCGAAAAACATGTTTTTTACGACTTCACAATACAAATCTTTGAAATTCTCGGATTTCCTCTACTATATGCATGTACGAGAGCAGGTCAATAAGTCCGTGACTTTGGAATAAAACACAGATTTTTTGAAAAATAAATCATTTTATTTTTCAACGTAGTCTCCCTTGAGCTCTATACACTTTGTCCAACGCTTCTCCAATTATTTTATCCCTTCCAAAAAATATGATTTGTCGAGGTCCTCAAAATAGGCCTTTGTTTGCGAGATGACTTCATCATTGGAGTCAAATCTTTTTCCACCAAGCCATTTCTTCAGGTTTGGGTACAAGAAGTAGTCACTCGGAGCCAAATCTGGAGAATAGGGCGGATGAGGGAGCAATTCATAGCCCAATTCATGGATTTTTGCCATGGCAACTGCACTTGTGTGCACCCTTGCATTGTCTTGGTGGAAAAGAACTCTTTTCTTGGCCAAATGAGGTCGATTTTTTTTTCAAATCGTCATTGAATCGGTCCAATAAGTTGGCATAATATTCCCCATTGATTGTTCTTCCCTTTTGAATGTGGATATCCCGCGTGCATCCCAAAAGACAGTCGCCATAACTTGATTGGCTGACAAACCCACCTTGGCCTTCTTTGGCGCCGATTCACCCTTATAAACCCACTGTTTTGACTGTTGTTTGGTCTCTGGTGTATTGTGATGGATCCATGTTTCGTCCACGGTTACAAAACGGCGCAAAAACTCCTCCATATTGCGTTTAAACAACGCCAAACCTTCCTGTGAAGTTGTTACACGATTGCGTTTGTGGTCGACTGTGAGCAATCGCGGCACCCATCTTGCGGAAAGCTTTCTCATGCAAAAGTGCTCATTCAAAATTGAAACCACTGAGCCATGCGAGATCCCTACGGCTTCCACAATCTCTTGCACTTTCAATCTTCGATCGGCCAACACCATATCGTGAATTTTTCGATTGTTTCGGGTGAAGAGACCTCAACTGGGCGTCCAGGACGTTCGGCATCTTCAGTGCTTGTACGGCCACAACGAAATTCAGTAAACCACTGTTTTACCATTGAAATCGATGGTGCAGAGTCCCCATAGTATTTATCAAGCTTTTTTCGCAAAAAATAATGCTTAATAAGCACACGAAATTCACTTTTTTCCATTTTTTCCTCAAATTACTGGGTAGTCTGATAAAGATAGCTGTCAAACACAAACTAACTGACGCAGCAAGTTCAAATTTTGACAGGAGTCAACTGACAGATGCCTGATGACAGGAGTAGTGTTGCTTTTTCAGTAAAGAGGTCAAAAATTCAAAAAGTCACGGACTTATTGACCCGCCCTCGTATTATTCATATTGTTACTCTCTTCATTTATTTTATTAGTTATATTTTTAAACATACACTTTTAAAAGAAAAATTTTACATATTTAAAAATATAAAAAATAATACACCACCGACATTGAGTACAGATACCAAGACACCAGTGGTTAGGACTCCAAAGATAGGAACCTCCTCACTATACGAGCCGTGTCAAGGAGGACTGTCTTCTGCATCAGACTCTTGATCCAGCCGTCCAACGTGAGCCTCTTAAGGTGTTGGTCGAGGCTCTTGACTATCAATCCGTGAGCAGATACGACTATCGGAACAATGATCACTGAATCGACATTCCACATATCAACAATCTCGTGAGATCACATCAACAGCCTTTAATAGTCCACTGCTGGACATAGGCCTCTCCTTAGAAAGGAGGTTTTGGCCTACTATACCACGCTGGCCAGACGGGTTGGTATAGGGCTTGTGTCAAGTTTTCCTTCTCTCTGCAGTGCTGTTATTCTGCGTATAGTTTTCTCCCTTAGTCTGCTCTTACGACACCCACGGGATGAATAGGGGTGGTGACAGTCTGTATTCTTAATCCGTCACCACACGGACAGTGATCAATTGACAACAACAACAGTGACAATCTCGTGAGATAAATCCAAATATTTTATATGCTATTCTTTTTCAATTTTGACGAAATACGATATCAACAATCATTGCGCGGCGCTCCAATCGATCTATCATCGCAATACCAAGTTAATTGGCAACAATAGTCCTGTCTGTGGTAATAGATCGATCCCAATACAACGTGGCCCGACCATTCTCGAGAACTGGGTCGGGCACATACCTGTAGTGTGGTACCTCTAGGTTCACAAGTTCGTACTTAAGGGCAAGCTGTCTGTGTACGATCCTGGCTACTTGGTTGTGCCTGTGCAAATATTCACCGTTGGCGAGACGAGAGCAACCAGAAATAATATGCCTGATTGATTCCCCAGGACGGTGGCATGCTTGACAGATGTCAACCGTACCATCTTTCAGGATATATTTCCGATAGTTGATAACTTCTCCATAATCGCACAAACAAAACCTTCAGTTTCTCCGAAGAGATCACCATACCGTAGCCAAGTCGTAGATGCTTTTAAGTCTATATCGGACCCGTTTAGGGCCCGATAAAACCGACCTGCCCTTCCATACTTCCCTGCAATCATTAGTACTAAGTACTGCAGGTTTGCGCCAATTCTCTTTAGCCAGAGCGAGCGGGGTGAATCCGATATCCTCTGCAACTACATTGCGATGCACTCCCACATCAGTATGTAGAAAATATTCTCTGAGATTGCATATCTCGCAATTGTGTGGGGTCTTCATATTTAATAGTCCGCGACCCCCAAGCTTTCGCGAGATATACAATCCCATAACCGATGAACGTGGGTGGTGCATTCGGAATGCAGTCAGCAGTGTACAGACTCTCCTGTCAAGGGCATCTAATTCGGTCTAAGTCCATCTAAGTATACCAAAGGAATACATCAGAACCGGCATGACCCAACTATTGCAAGTTCACCGCTCGTACTTTTTCAGGCGACCAAAAAAGCGTTCCTGCAACGTTTGTTTCATGTCAGATTCTGGTATTCCCAACGACTGTGACATACCCAGATACTTGTAAGTTTCAGTGGCAGCCAGAGATCTGAGTTTTGTTCAATCTGAAAGCTTCAGATTCTACTATCACGCCCTTCTTGACATACATGACTCCACACTTGTCTACACCAAATTCCATTTTGATAGAATTACTAAAGTTTTCCGTCACCTTTAGTAACGCTGTCAATTGTAACTGTAGTGTAATTTAGTGGGGGCTGGTAATTTTAAATCATCAATAAAAAGAAGGTGAGATATAACTTGATCATCTTTATGCAACTTGTAGCCTAAACCTGAACTCTCTATAATAAAATAGGGTGTTAAGAGGGTTCAAAGCCAGACAACACCACAAGGGACTCAGACTGTCACCTTGAATATACCCTGCTCTATCTTTATTAGTAAATCGTTTACCGCAGTCAGCCGACATCCTGGATAGCGAAGTGCTGTTCTCCATTGGCCCATACATGACTCCAAGAAAGTGCCACGAGTTGTATGAATTTTATACAACTCCAGCACCCTCAAAAGCCATATGTGTAGAACCGAGTCATAAGCTTTCTTATAGTCTATCCAACATGTCGCCAGACTGTTACGATTACGACGTTGGCTAATGGTCATGTCTATGATAAGGTGCTCTTTAGTGCCACGGGACCCACTTTTACATCGATTCTGAGAAACTGACATAATCGAATTATTAATATTATTATATAAAAACGCCTCTTAAAACACTCTCTATTGGTGACAATCGCGTTAAAATCGGTTGAAAGACAAGAGAAAAGTGACTTCATTTTATACTATGTTATCTTTAACTTCGTATAAAATGTTGTAGTGCGCTATATTTCTAACCTATGAACACAACAAAGGTTGAGTGTAATATTAGGGGTTAAAGTATGAAATTGCCGATTTGTACTGAAAAATTTAAACTCTTTTTATTCTAAGACTAGCTGACCCGCGCAACTTCGTCTACGTCTCTCAATAGTAATAAATTTTCTCCGTTTTTGAAACATTCTCCATTGGTGCTCCGCTCCTATTGGTCTTAGCGTGATGACATATAGCCTATAACCTTCCTGTATAAATGGGCTATCTAACACACAAAGAATTTTTCAAATCGACGACCAGTCGTAATTCGTTTAGAGCGAAGGTGCGGGCTCTCCTTGACCAGAATGTAGCGGAATCATCACAAATATGATACTTTATATATTATGGTATATATGTATGTGTATATATATAACACAATATATATGAATATGAATGTATGTATTCTTGTATGTATACGTTGTTATTTTTTATATTATTTCATTGCTTTTTCTCTTTTTTTTTTTCTCTTCTCCTTCTGTGCGAGACAGTACCTATTGCTAACATTACTTCTTTTATGTCCACTTCATAATTCTCAACCAAAGGGTAGTGCACCTCCAGGTAGTGCCTATGGCATTAAGTCCGCCATTGTACTTATGTGTATAAAGTTATTAAATAAAAAATAAAAAAAAGATTTATTAAATCAAAATATTTACCCTCATTATCATCATCTATGCTGCCATCTAAACGGAAGTTCAGGTATGCTTTTACGATAGATCTAGATTTGACAAACTCTGTGAAAGCATTTTGTACTGCATCCTAGGAAGATTTTTTTATCACGTAGAAAATTGTCCAAATCATAAAAAGAATGTAGTCCGTTGGAGCAAGGTCTGGTGAGTACAGAGGATGATGTATGGTTGCTAACCGCAGCTCCTGTAGAGTTACAACGGTTTCTCGTGCAGTATAAGCTCTTGCGTTATCATGAAACAATAAGGGTGAAGATCGATTCACGAGTCGGGGTTGTTTTGCCATTATTGTTCGAAGTTCGCACAGAAAATTAAACATCTGCTGTTATTGCCTGACCTGAGAAAGCTATACTGAATAACACCATGAAAGGACCATCAAACAGTTACCATTATTGGTAAGCTCTGTTTTAAGGCACTGTTGCGGCGCTTGCGGTTATCGTAAACAATCCAGTTATTTGTCACATGTCACAATTCGATACAATATTCCTTTACAGTCTCGATTCAACAAAGCAACACAAGTTTCAACACGCATTTCTTTCTGCAGGTCAGTCAAATCATGAGGTACTAATTTTTCATATTTAATAATCTTGATGTAAATGAGACAATATTGTAGGTAGGGTAACGTTAAACTATGCCGCTAATTACCGGGTAGTCGGCTTCCACCATCTCCTTCGAATCAGCGTTATTCACCTGTGTGGGCGGTCTTCTACGTGGTTCGACCTTCAAGTCGAAGAATCCATTATGAAATCGTTTAAAACGCACAGTGCGTTCATTAGTAGTGTCCTCTCCGAACGCAGCGTTAATATAGTCAGTTAAAAATGACTCGGATTTTGAAGTATCCATCTTTCACCCTCTAAGCTGAATTAAAAAAAAACCATTGAAAGTTGAAAATCGAATGTCGCACATTTTTTTTTAAAGAAGAACCTAATAGGTATCATGTGAAAAAAGTTTCACACGCAAATCTCACACTATGAAAGTTTTATGTCAATTCAATGTGTCTATTACCATACAACGGCAATTTCATACTTTAACCCCTATTAGTTTGTATCTATTACGTAAAGACGTCAGCGAGATGTCAACCTGTTACCATAGTACAAGAAAGGTGTAATTTTGCACATAATTAATATGTATACCATATTAATTACGTCAAGCCAGAAGTAAATCACAAATTTGATAAACAATTTTTTTTAGGGTGCCTACCTCCTATGTTAATGTAAACTGGGAATGGTTTTTATTTTTTGGCTATACCTTAGTGTGGCGTTGGATTGCTCTTTCAAAAATATTGAGAAGTTGTGAAGGCTGTTTTTCGATTTAGCGATAAGTTTACTAAATATAGTATAGTATAATAGAACTTTAAAGTGTTTCAACCGTTTCAGTCCCAACAGCTTAGTTTTTAGATGGGGGTGGGGTCTAAAAGCTCAACTGTTGGCTTAAAAAATCTGATTGTAACATATTTACCGGACTTAGAAGAAAAACTATAACGGATAACTCTGTTATTTTAGGAGTAATAGTTGCTGAAGATGAAACATGCGTAATTTATTTGCTTGTGATTTTTTAAAGCGTAATTTATTTCCATGTCAATTTTTTACATCTCGAGAGCCCGTATGAAAACGTCATTAGCCGTTAAACCATGAAAGTATAAGGCCATCTTCTAAGTCTGCATGTTGTAACAAGCGACTAAGGAACCCTACACAGTGCGTGTCCCGACACGCACTTAGCTATTTTATTTTACAACCTGCCTCGGCATCAACTTATTTAACCAAAAGATTATCAATAAATACTAGAATATTCTAGTACTCAAATTTTTGTTGCAAATAAGAAGAGGCACTGCAGAACATTTTTTGTAACATTACCTGGCATATCAGACGCAACTAATTGGACGTTGAACCCAAATTGCACGAATGATCCACTTATGGCAAGGGGCCTCTGTAATCAGAAAACATAATTGATTGAGTCTACAGAAACATGTTTTCGTATGGTAAATTCTCTAAGAACACTAACACTAACCGTTATTCTTATTCACGAAATTTTTGAAAGTATACACAGTGGTTATTTAACACAATTTTAAATTAATACAATTGAATACACATTCAATAATATTAATCATTGCGATGACTACGTTATTACGCTGCAGTGAAAGCACCACTATTGCAAGTTTTAGGGGTTCGATTTAAATCGGTACAATACAAATATTTGTGTAATCACAATAGTAGTCTATATTCCTTATCTCCATTGCAAAAGTCTCGCCACATGGAAATTATTAATACTGAGGCTATTAAATTTTATAAAGATATTTTTATAATTAGTTCAACTCAGTTATCTCCATACCGTGTTTGTTGTTGTTTTTCGACACCGGGATCACTAGCTTTGGTTTATGACTTGCATATTAGAATAAAGAATCAGAAATATAACGCGAAACGATGTTTCCTTAGGCATAAATAAGCTCAAGCTTAAATAAATTTTACCGTTTCAACAAATTCTTAAGAAATCTTAATAAATTAAAAAATATATAAATTGTAGAAGACTTAGTAATCGTTAGACTATTCAAAACTATAAATTTAATACCTCTTTTAATAAATTGCTGAATAATGTCCGAGATTTCTGAAGTAACAGCTCTCTTCTGTCACGTTTTCTCAAAAATAATTTAAATTCATACTGCAACAAATAGAAGACGACCATTACCGTACCTAAAATTGTTTAGACCAACAATTTTCAGTTTCTAAATTCTAGATGATCATATTTAACATTGCCCCAGACGAAACCATAATTTGCACTACGAACTTAACGGGCAGGTATTGGGAGTCGGAAGGGTTTGCAGACTTTTGTAGGTGGATGGTGATTCGCACACCAAAGCTTTAAGTCACCCTTGTGCAGGCTTTGCAACTGTAGGCACTCCAATCGATCATCATCAACTTGATAGGGAGACATCGTAGGACCCTATTCTACCAAGTGACACAGATCTGTCCTTTTGGGCAAGGCTGCTACCGTAAGTAACAGTAGGTACTTGGTCATTAACGGTGAAATTTGATCTTGCCTATCACATCGGTGACTCGTAAATCGGCGACGTCTCTGGGCTTGAACTTTTTATTTCTATACTAAAACAATGACATACTTCGTTTTTAAGCCTTTCTTCACTCCAATTTCCCACAAGAACTGAATTATTATATGTCATTATGAATGTTAGAGTTGTAATAAATTATTGTATTTTGAATTATTTGTTATTTGCTTTGTGCTGCTATTGTCATATGTCAAGTCGTAATATGCCAAATCGAATAAATGAAGAAAAGGTGAGAAAAGGTAATAGGTGTAATTTGACTTCACGGTAAATTGCACTTATTATATTAATACGATAAATTACCAAAATTCTATATTTAACTGTTTTATTAATTTTGTATGATATATAATGCGAAAGTCTTAACGGAACTAGAGACATAACAAAATTAGGGATTTTGATTTACTAAATTATCTAAGTTTATCTATCTAAAACATTATTAATAAAATAGACAAAAATGTGATTAAACTACTTAATACATTGCAGGTTTTCATTGGAAAGAATATTTAAAAAGACAATAGATTCAACTATATTTTTTTAATTTCAAATTCTATATTTTTATTGCCTTATAAGTTATGGAGTATTATTACAAATATAAATATTAAATTGACATTATGTTACAATCTCTTCGAGTGTTAACACGACCATGACAGTATATGGTCAGACCATGTGTGGGCACGGAAATTTGTGTTGCAAACTCATACCACAATTCTAATCAGTGACAACCTTCGCTTGAGCTTTTAAAAATGTTAATGATTGGAATACACTTTTTCTCTCTTTTCTGAGGTCCTCCATAATAGGCTTAGTGAATTGTATGTTGACCGCAGGCAAAAATTAGCTCAGAATGAGGGTCTTCGATACTTTTTCAGCCACCAGACGGCGCTCCGTATGCGTCAGGTCCAAACAGCTGTCAGATAGCACAGATTCTTGTGGAACGTATAATATTTTAGTGAAATTCTATGAATTTGGAAGTGTTATTGAGTTTATTATAGATTACGGCCAGAGAAAGGTTGGCAAACTGAAGATTGAGCTCAAAAAGAGAGGCGCAAAAGTTTTATTTGCACACATAGGCACTGCACAACACTGTGGAATTTTAGAAATCAGTATTCATTTTGTAACGTTTTTAAGAATGAATAAACCAAAAAAATGATTGAAAAATACAAATCGTGTATGTGTTTTGACAGGTGGTTGGACCTGACGCTACAGTGATGCCATCTCACGTGGAACATTTCAGAAAACCCTCATTGTAGCAATAGTGTTCACAACTGTCAAGTCAAATTAGAATCTTTTTTTAAAACGTCAAAATGATAAATGCTTTACATTTATTTATACTAATATTATAAAGCTGAAGAGTTTGTTTGTTTGTTTGTTTGTTTGTTTGTTTATTTGAACGCGCTAATCTCAGGAACTTCTGGTCCGATTTGAAAAATTCTTTCAGTGTTAGATAGCCCATTTATCGAGGAAGGCTATAGACTATATATCATCACGCTAAGACCAATAGGAGCGGAGCACCAATGAAGAATGTTTCAAAAACGGAGAAAATTTATTACTATTGAGAGACGCAGACGAAGTTGCGCAGGTCAGCTAATTTATAAAATATAGGTATTGTGAAATCATTTGTATGAAACGTTCATTTGATATAAAAACATTAAATTGAAAATAAAGGACAATCCATGCTGTTCTTATGATGTTACATTTACTAATTCAGGCGAAACAATAACAAAAGAGCACCTATCAAAACATGATTTTTCTCAAAGAAAAAACAAACAATCCAAATATATGTCAGCTGAACTCATCTGTCAAAATCGTGTTCAACTATTGCACATTCCGGGGTTACCGGGGTCATTTGAACTCATTTCCTGAAATAAATTAGGTCGTGTAACTCGCATAACCGTTTACCACGGTATGTTTAGATATTAAACATTCATTCATCTACAACTTTCATTTTTAACTATCCGTTGCAAATTCAAGTGCTTATAATCTCTTTGTGTCGCCAAAACATCAAGAAGTGCAGTAGATATGAACTACTTCAAAAGTATTCTTCTATTATGGGTACTCATTATAAAGTACAATTTATGCCTCACGCCTATCTCATTAGATAAAACATATGAAAAAGGAGTTAAAGCTTATACAGACGAAAGATGGTCTAGATGCATCGAAAAGTTTGAAGAATCATTACACTTGTATAAACTTTTAAAATCTGTTGTAATGAACTGTAGACTGAAATGTGCATCAAAAGTGTATGAAAGTTATGTAAAACAAGATATTGAAGACCTTAAAATTTACGAAACTTATTTTAATCGAAGAAATTGCATAAATCAATGTCAAGATATTGGGTTTCGAGCAATCAACTTGAAAAGTATACCTGAGGAATATGTATTAAGCAAAATGCACGCTAGAAAACCGTACGAGTACCTTCATATGTGCTACTTTCAAATGCATATGTTTCAAAAAGCTGCTTCAGCAGCGTATACTTATTTTTTAGCACATCCTGATGATAATGTTATGAAAGGTAATATACAATATTATTTAGACCAACCAGAGGTAGATACCACTGAAGTGATGGACCTTGAAGGTGATGATTATGTTATTCTTTATAACCTTGGTATAAACTCCTATTTCAAGAAAAACTGGGCAGAAACAGTTGCCAGCATGGAAGAGGCAATAAAGAATTATATTGCATCTGAAAACCAATGTCGTGTAGAATGTGAGCATCAACCGGGACAAGAGTGGTCATCTGAATTTGTGATAACATTATCTAACAACATGGCATCACTGCTCCATTGCCATCAACTATGCCAAGATAAACTTAGCCTTCTAAAGTACCACTCAGGTGTTGAATTTCTCACAGACATACTTAATCACCTACAAATGTCTTATTATCACCTTGAAAAGTTAGAGGATGCAGTAGAAGCTGTTAAAACCTATCTAATTTTAAAGCCGAACGATGAAGATATGTTGGCTAATGAAAAGTTTTATGGTGATCTTGTTGAAAAGAAAATTGAAAGTCAAAGATCCGATGTCACCGGTTATTTTGCACGTGACAAGTATGAGAAAGAATTGCTTAATTTGTTTCACAAAGATAGTAAGCACAATGTTAACGCAGCCTAAATTTGAATACTCTTAATTGGGACCAAAATAGTAACATAACACTTTTTGTAATTTTTTAAATACTTAACTTTTATGATGTTACTTTATATTTTTATAAAAAAATATTAGCACTTTTAATGCTATTAATCAATTAATGAGGGTGTTTGACATATATGTCTATTTTTATACAATACATATTTAAGATTTTACTTAATAATTTAATGAAATAATGTGCTTCTGCACATAAAGTTTACTTACTAATGAAACAAAATGACTGTCATATTGTGCCATAAGTAGCAATGTAAGTGAAGATCTATAAAACCAAAAATTTACTTTGATAAGATGTGAATAAAAAATTATAATGCTCAATGGTCTCTTAATTTATTTTATCTTCGTAAAGACATTTTTGTGTCTGTAAATGCCAGATATACCTATTTATAAAATTATTACATTTAATAAGAAGTTTTTTTAAGTAAGTTAACAGTATATTCTCTATAATTAATAAGTATTTTATATTAACAAAATTTTAGAAGTTCTGTTAGTGTTGTATTAAACTGTTGCTTTAGAATAATTTTATGACACACAGTACGAGAGCCTTGCTTTGGCACAAACTGGCCAGCTTGAACAGAGTGATACCTTTTCGCAGAAAATTGGTGTTAAGCAATTCATTTGATGTCTTTTACCAAGTGATTGGTTTGGAATACAAATGGCTCTTGGGGAAAGACTCTAAGGACAGCCAGGCACTTATGACTCTTTAAGTTACAGGTCTTCATGGGTGGCGGTAGTCACTTACTATAAGCTGACAATTACATAGAAAGTGCACCTATACATTAGATTTTACCCAGCAACTCTCATTATCCCACAAAGCCTGTCATGCAGGCATATTTTTAGTTACAATATTTAAAAACAGTGTGTCAATATTTGATGATTGAATTACTTATACATTATGCAACTTTATTATTAGAATTGATACCAAATAAATTCAGTACAACAGGATGAAATTATACATATCATGTATAGCACCAGAAGTATCTATAAAGCCTGTTAGTTTCACAAATTCTTTAACAAAAGTATTTTATACTACAAAGTTTTTAATGGATTTAGCAGTATTCTCCTGGATCTGTTTTATACCGCTAATATTGCACAACCAGCTTTTGCCCGCAGCTCGGCCCGCGTGTATACCGGTTTTTGCGGTATAAAGTGCTCTATGTCCTTGCTCAAGAAACAAACTATCTCCATTGGTATGGCATGAGAGGTAACAGACAGACAAACAGACACACTTTCGCATTTATAATATTAGTATGGATAGTTCGTTTGTTAAATGTGTCAATAGGTATAATAGTAGGTTCACTACCGACGTGAACCCACTCCTAACACAAGAAATTTAGCTTAGCGGGAGGGGTTAACGGGGATACTAGTAATTTCGGTTGCTAGTAGACCTTTAAAAAAATAATAGTTATCCAAAAAAAAAAAAAGTATGTATGTATTATCTAATTACACGTCGCGAAAGTAATTCACCCAATGACAAGGTCATATTCGTTCTTTTAAATGCTCAATAATTCTGTGTCATTGTTCTCCTGTAAAATTTCAGTTAGTTCTTATTCGTCTTTGGTATACCTACTATTTTTGTTTCTATAATCTTTAACTAATTATAGGTATTTTTAATATCCGACCAAAACAGCTTAGTGGTCGATTCGCACAAACTGCATTTACAACAGTGCGAACCAACACTAATAGAAAAATGTACTGGCGCGCCAGTACATTTTTCTTTTTTCTTCTTCTTTTACATTTGTCTTTTAACGAGAAAAAAAATAAAAGTATAGGGGTGCACATATATGTGGGTATATTCGTCAAATTATTTTTATTGATGGTTGCAGATGAGCCAGCGGTTCACCTCATTAGGTGAGCCGCTGGCTCGTCCATGAGCGGCAGTTACCACTTACCATTAAGTGGTAACTGCCGCTCATGGACTTCGGCAGTGCCAGGGCCACAGCCAAGCCGCTGCCTACCGCGTTTAATCTGATTATCAATGCGATACTTTGGATGGATCGATGGATGTAAATTTATGCTAGCGCTAATGTGCGTAAATCAGTTAGAGTGCGCAGATTATCTGGTCAAGTCCGATAAAGTAAAACATTTTTTTTCAGATGTTACTTTAACTAGATAATCTACAGACTCCCTAGATAAGCTGCAGACCAACGGCTTTACGGACTAACAAATGGTAAAGTTAAATTTGGGTTAGGTTAGAACAGTGACCGAATGAAGCGAAGGCGAGTGAACCGAGTGGGCCGCCGAACACCACATCCATTCTATTGATGGTAAATCATTTGGGTTAGCTGAGGTTATAACAGTATGATGTTGCGGTCAAAAGTACTTTTGACTGTTTTTTTAAAATTGATATTTATTATTTAATAAACTTAATTGTGAGTTATTTTTGTTGATTAAGAATATTTTCCACAAACATATATTTTGTTTTAATTAGGTAAATGCACCATTTTTATGCGCTCCTTTACCATTTTCGTAAATAAATTTAATTAAAGTAAATGTGTGCGAAACGCCAGTACATTTTTCCATTGGTGTCGATTCGCAAAGTAATGCAAATCGACCACTAAACCGCCAAAACGTCGTAATGTACTTCTACATAAAAGGGCAGACCTACAGAGAAATAGTTACAGTACCGCAAAAAACCGGTGTTAGGCAATTCTTTCGTTGCTTTGAACCGAGTGAGTAAAATTAATGGAGCCCCAAACCAACCCGCCTCCTAATTTTGCGGGGGGGGGAGAGAGTCAACGTGCGGTGGTAGTCACTTATCCTTAGGTTGACCCATCTGCTCGTTTGCCGCCTATACCATAAAAAAGGAGTACTAAGTCAGTTGTGATACCTTTCTGTTAAACATTTCACTTCGTAAAACCATGATTACAGGTAATGCTTAAACAAAGTTTTAAAACATTAAGTGGTTTTAGTTTTTGGGTTTCGCACGTAGTGCAATGTAGATACTACTAATATGGTATCAGTGTGGAGTAATTAATTATACTATTATTATGATAAGACTATACACCAGGACATCTTCATATGTAATATTTATAGGCCCGACGCAAAGTCTGCTTTGCCCCCGCATTTTCAATCTCTGATATCTACTAAGATATTCATTCAAATGATCAGGATAACATTTAAATGAATATCTTCATGAAAATGAATATATCCAATGTTGATCTACATTAAATGCACAAAGTAACTAACGTACTTATTTGGATAAGAATAACACTGTATTGTTCAAAATATTACTTACCTATTATTTTTTTGTAAAATGTAAAAGAAAAAAATGGTTACTGTAGGTTATCCTTAAGAGATTGACATATATCATCGCGGACTTTTATGTAGATCTTTTTAATATAATATTCCTCGCCCGCTAATAACCCCTCTTGAATCACTGTCTATTTGTGAAAACCGCATTAAAATCCGTTGTTTAGTTTAAAAGATCCAAGCATACAAGAAAAAAAACTTCATTTTCTACCAAGTAAAGATAATTCATAGTTTAATTCGTGATAAAACCTCAAACACGAATACTTTTTAGCGTCACTAGCTCAGGGTGTGATAGTATAGTGTGGAATGAGAGAAATGAGAAGTTTTAATTTTAGGTTAATTTTCGGTCCTTCCACCATAACGACCGTCTTCTTAAATTTAATTGATCTGAGAATCATAAAATTATTGGAACATGTTTAAAAAGGCAACTAAGTACCAACATCTATTTTTGTTTGATTATGTGTATCTATTAATCTATATTTATATAAAAATGTTATGTTGGTTTGTGTACGCTTTAAAGATTAAAAATAAGTACAAAATTAATAAGTAATATTTTGACACGAATCTCATGTAATAACACGCTTCAAAGATGATTTTTATCTATTTTTTCAAATACAATGTGCCATGGCAAAGCGTGGCAGGGTACAGCTACACATTAAAATTAAAACTAGAAGTCATTTCTTAATATTTTAATGTAGGTGTTTTAGGCAATTTTTTAAAGAAATAACATTAAAATAAAACTAGTGCAATCTAATGTATATGTTGCGTATTAATACAATTTTTCTATGGCAACTCTATTCATCAATATTATTACGCTGAAACTACAGTCATATCTTTCTTAGATTTCTCGTCAGTAACGGAATATGAAATTTATTACTGATTAATTTCTTTGTGTATGTAGGTTAATATACGCAGGTTAAATTAATTTTATCAGTGATAAAATTGTTTAACTGAAACCTTAAAAAGACAAGGTCTCATCTTTTTAAGTTATCACCGCTCGCTACGCATACTTAGATTAGAGTTTTGCTGATCATTATAATGTACCTCGTATTTTTTAATCGGCGAAGATTCATACTAGATTCATCACAATAGACAAGATAAATAACTGGGTAGGTAGATGTTTTAAGTCATAAATTAAAACAAGATGTTTGAATCGTGAAATTATCACAATATTTTATTTCGAAATTGTTGTTGTTGTTGGGCCATAAGCAACTCTTATTGATATTTCTTGCTTAAGATACTGGCCTAAAAGAATAGCAAAATTCCGGAGCACTGGCAGCACTACATATTTTTTAATGATGGCGATACTTTAAAAAGAAATTGCTCGCTAGAGGGCGTATCATTTTGCCTGTCAAGTGAAAATTATGCAGCTTTCGTATAATTTACAATGGTTTTTATAGATCTAGTTCATAAAGGTAAACAAACTACTCAATTTAGCTCATTAGAGTGTTAGCGTTGTTATACCATATACGTAGATACGATTTTTTTTTATAAGTTACACTGGTACTTACAAGGTGGTGTGTGCATACATTGTGTAAAGAATGTTTCTGGATGCTTATGACCCATAAATTGTTGTGATATATTATTTCTTGATAAATATTTGCATATCTATACCTAGTGCCAGTGCAACCGACTCACCACTGACAAACCAACTGACAAATCATAAATAATAAGTAACACAAACTTACTCACCTACTTAGTCTATAGTACATATTATACCTGTGTATTATTGTGCAATTTTAGCTACTGAGTAGTTGAAATAATTCCTATGAATAGAGTCAAGTAAGATTGATAGCACAAGAGACCAGAGATAAGATGCAGGAATTAAGTTTTATTTTGTTTTTTTTAATCAACTTAATTCAGTATTTAAATCATCACTGCTTCGGTTCCTACTAATATTAAAGTATTCAGAAGATGTATCTGGAAACAAAATTAACCCAGTTAAACTATGGCTTTTTAATACATACTTAAAGATTTTTGTCTTAATTGTTCAAATTATTGCAGTTTTAAAGATAAAGAAATTTGAAATCCTGAAATAAATTTAATTAACATTAGTGAAATAGAACTGAAGAAAAAACATAATGTAAATTCTTAATGATATCTTCACGGGTAGAGCATCAGGAAAAATCCATAAATTTCTTAAGACTATTTGTTTTTCTTTTTCAGAAAACTCATCATAATGGACTGTGTGACTGACAAACTCAGTATTAAAAACCTTCTGTTCACCAAAGCTATTCCTAACTTAGCGGTACCAATACCAGTAAACGGCCATAAAGTTTATGGTTGCACGGATTGTGGGGACAAGTAAGTTGAGTAAAAATATGTTATATTATCTATCAGAAACAGTACTGAAACAAAACAAACATACCTGCCATACTCTATATATTCGAAATGTGCTACTGTCTCTGATAGGTGACAAATATACCACCACAAGCAATATTATGTCTTTAAACCAATTAATATTTGCTAAAATTAATCCACAACATGTAAAAATAAAAAAGGACCTAAATAACTCATTCTAAATATAGTACTCTAAACCAATTTTTAATTTTGTAATCTACCAATTCATAGAAATAAATATAATAGGAATTTATTTGTCAAAATAAAAACAGAGGTAGAGTACAGAGTTCACTTGGGATATTCAACTTAACAGAGGTCTATTTAGCCAGCAATTATAGTTGTGTTGTTCTATTGGAGTGTGGTGATATTACCAGAACCACTTATGATAGAGTTGCACTGTCTACAAAAGTGTATCGTGTATGTCACTTGTTTTTACTTTTTTAAGTATATATTTGATTTAAATTTCTTTATTAAAATATGTTACAGAATTGATTATAAGGAGAGTATTTATTGATTGAATATAGAATCCTTCTTTATAAGAAAAAGTAATTAAATTCATAGAACCTCAACAAATACTAATTGCATTATAATATTTACAAAGTACAAGAATTTATAAAATAAGCGTATTCTAGTTGGTAGTAGTAGTTCTCTTTTCAAAAAGTGTTAATATTTACTTTCCATTAAATGTTGAATAATAATAGTTCCGTAAAAAAAATACTGGCGGAGTGCTCTGAGTGGTTGCAGAATCGTGCCGCGCTCCCAGTGGCTATCAAAGCAGGTAGCCTCTGGATGAAGGCCATGGATCTAACCAGAAGGTCAATTCGCGTAATAAAAGTTCGGTAAAAATTCAGTTCCGATCATTTCTCGATCTCGCGACTGCCATAAAAGGTATTAAGACTAGCATATCACCAATTCAATTTTCCGTTACAATACACTATAATCACTTAACAGTCAAAGTTGGATGTTTAATACTTTACTATAAATATGTATTCTATGTTTAGGTATATCAAACAATGTAGGTACTATCTGCACTGATTTAAGTGGAAATCTGCACAAGTCTTTTATTTACTAGGCTAATGTGGTAACTTAAGGGTTTAGATCAGTCTTAGTTCCTAGTGTACCTACACACCAGTTAGTTTTATAACATTAACAAACCTATATATCGTCAGCTCTTTGCATAGTCAGTTAAGTATTCATAAAATGTTCCTGTAATATACCTGTCATAAAATGCCTTTCTAAAAAAAAAAGTACAATAGTGTCATTCATTAGTGCTCTGACATCGGACATACAGGAGGAGGCACCTTGGTGCATGCTATTTGCAGATGACATTGTGTTGGTCGGTGAGGATGGGATTGAAGTCCAGAGCAGACTGGAAAAATGGCAACAAAGGCTGGAGAATGTTGGCTTGAAAATCAGCAGAACCAAAACTGAGTACATGTTCTGCGATTTCGGCGGTCTCTCCAGTCCTGAAACCATTTCGCTGGATGGGATAGCGATAACAGTCTGCTCCAATTTCAAGTACCTCGGCTCCCTCTTACAATGTGATGGTGAGATTGATCAAACTGTACAGCATCGAATCAATACGGGATGGATGAAGTGGCGGCAGGTAACGGGAACAACTTGTGACCCCAGTTTCCCCTAAAAACTGAAGGGACAAATTTATAAAACTATTATCAGATCTGCCGTCCTGTATGGTTCTGAAAGTTGGCCCATTAAGAGAACGGATGAGAGACGCCTGAACGTAGCCGAAATGCGAATGCTGAGATGGATGTGTGGTATGACTCAGATGGACAAGGTTAGGAATGAGTATATACGAGGGAGTCTGAAAGGAGCGCCACTGGATGAAAAGTTAAGAAGTAATAGGTTATCTTGGTATGGACATGTCATGCGGAGGGATGAGGAAAATGTGGCGAAGAAAGTTTTAGGTATGGGAGTTGAAGGGTATAAGAGAAGAGGCAGACCGAAGAAAAGGTGGATGGACTGCGTGAGGGAGGATATGGCTAGGAAGGGAGTAAACAGTGAGATGACGCATGATAGAGTAGAATGGAAAAATCATACATACTGCGCCGACCCCAAATAAAATTGGGAAAAGGGTAGGCAGATGATGAGTGTCATTCATTAGTGACAATTTTCTTTCTACGATGGAGAATACTATATATTTGGTGGTTACATAAAATAAATATAGGAAGGAATAAAAAAACTAAAACGTAATAATGTAGAAATGTATAGCGAGTACCTTACAGATATATTAATTATTGTTTTATATTGAACTACTTAGACACAAAGATAGACTTAATCTACCAGCCTCCCGCATCTAAATGCACTCATACAGCCCATTTGTAATGTCCATAAAAATATACAATAAGTTACCCAAAACCATAAAACAAAAAGATAAATGTAACAGTTTCACAAATAAATTAAACTCTTTCTACTTTTAACCACCGAGTGTGCCTGAGCAACATTAGCTTGACTGTCCTCTTTGACGGAATGCTTTTTCCCTGCCGGATTGCGGGCTTTAACGCCTTGGCAGATCCAACTGATCGCCGAACGGAGCCACTCTACAACGCCGGTGAAAGTAAAAGCTACTACAGTATAAAATAATATTTAGAAGATGGATAATATATTCTATTACTGTGATAAATTACTTAAAAATAAAATATTAATTCCTCCCTCCTAAACAAAATGTGCTGCGACCGACAGGGTTGCTAATTGTAACTACTTAAATTGATATCACCTATGTATTAAGGTACATTATGGAAGCAATAAACTGTTGATCACTGCAGTCTTCTTCGTTCTTTTAGCTTTTCTTTCTCACCATCATCATCAACAAGAGCCTTTAATTGTCCACTGCTGAACATAGGCCTCTCCTTAGAAAGGAGGTTATTATTAGTTTTCTTTCTTACTTAAACCTAATTATTATTGTGCTGTAATATAAAATTATTTTCAGGTTCATCTTTGAGAGCAGCTATAATGACCACGTCAATCGCAAATCAGTCAAAATCAGCTACATGTGCCGGAATTGTAATCTACAGAAAGTGTTTTATAACAGATGTAATCTGCTCGATCATATTAGATCTCATGCATTTAAAACCGCTACAATTAATGTGACAGATTTAAAAGTGGAACCTTTGCCATTGAATAATATCAAAACTAAGGTTCCCCTACCTAATGCTTCAACAAGTGGTACAAAACAAAGTACGATAACAAAGCCTTCATCAATTCAATGCCACGAATGTAAAGCGGACATAACAGTTACAGGCATAGCTTACAAAGACCGTGCAAGTCATTTAATGCAGTATACAACTGAAGTTTATTCCTGTCCAGTATGTTTGTTTGCACTACCCAGTATATGTGCACTCAAAGTGCACCTACGATTACATTTGAGGTGCCTGCCATTCTTTTGCCCTGAATGTGGTGTCCATTTAATTAACAAAAACGTGCAGTATCCATATAATCACGATTGTGAAGGATTCAAAATGATGCGGGCAACGGCTAGATTAAATTGTTCTGTGCCAGATTGTTCCCTTTTTCATCCCAATGATTATAAGGAACACATGACAAAATACCATCTCAAAAAGGTTTATAAGTGCCCATTTTGTGTCGTAGCGTGTTTTAATGAATCAACTATGGAAAAACATTTGAAGGGACATAAAACTGATGTCAAACCTTTGTTATTTTATCAGTGTGATGTATGTCCTGGCCGCTATGTCCTGCAAAACCCAAAATTCAATGACCAACATTTAAAAAGTCACATCAACACTAATATTTTTCCATGCTGGGCTTGTGGATCAGCGTTCAAGGAGGTTTCGATTTTATTGAATCATTTTATTAAGAAACATAATAAATCTGAAGCAGTCGAAGTTGCATTAAATGCTATTCTAAATGATAGCTCTATGCAATTAAGTAAACCAAAAAGAATATATCGCGTGGTAAAAAGATGCGAACAATGCAAAAGGAGTTTTACGTACAAGTGTAAATATGAGGAGATACAAGTACTCCCTAATGAATGTCCTTTCAAATGTACTTCTACTATGCAATCAAACGTTACGCCCGAAAAAATACGAGATCGCTACGGCAAACATATAACATGTCATATTTGTCGTGTACAAGTTCCAGAAGACTGGACAGAAATTAAAAAACATTATGCTGCTCTCCATAAAACACACAAATGTTTGGATGCTGAAATACTGCTCACAAGAGTAGACATTAAAAAATATCTAAATAGAAAAAAAATCGGCAGGCCGCGATCAAAAATAAATTTTTTACAGAAAATATCGAAGAAAACAAAACATCAGCAACTTAATAAATCTTCTACACCATCAGTTACAAATGACGAAATAGTATCAATGCCACATTATATTCCTGTTGATTTTTTTGAGTGTAATATGTGTGACAGCAAATACGAAGAAAAAACAATGTTGGAAAAACATATGATATCTCATAAAGATCCTTATATGGCCTACCAGTGTATGGAATGTGCACAAAGCTTTGAAGTCAAGCAATTATTCTCCAATCATTTACAGTTAGAACATAATATTACAGATACTGATAAATATATTAACAATAAACTATGTTATAACGAAAATGCTCTTACAAAACATCAAAACAATACGGAAATCACAGATTTACTTTTCGTTGCGAATCAATGCAGGATCTGTCTGGACGAGTTTGATGACCCAGAAGCTTTGGAAAAACATTGCCGGGTACATGGAATGGCTTTCTTGGTGAACAGTGCGTTAACTAAGCCTAATACATTATAGTTTTTAAGATAATATTGTACATAAGCTTGCTTCCACTTTTATTTAGATAGGTAACAATTTTTATCTATGCAATGATTACATTCGTTTATAACGTAATGCACTCAATATTCAAAAAGTCGTACACGGTTCCGATGGGCAAAAATCATCAGACCACCGATCAACTTGTTTTCCTCCTTTTATTTGTAAGCTACTAATAATGTATTTGTTCAAGTATGTAAGTGTATTTGACGGCTTTCAAATATCTGGGTATCGATACAACTACATGGCGTTAGAAGTATTTTCTGTACATTCAACGCCCTCGTGCTTTTGATTAAATATCGTTACGTGATAGCAAGTCACTTACCATTTTATTATTTTTATTTATTAATTATTCTGAGAATGAAGAAAAATTGTTTCTATTTGAGACTGGTTTGGGACCATGTCTATCAAAATGCACCTATTCATAAAACTAAGTGATGGTTAATTGATTTGGTTAACCTTAGTATTTGTATGACGAAAAAAACAAACCTAATAAATAATTTTATTAAGAACTGATTATGGAGTTAATTCATTTTGGCAAATTATGAAGAAGCTTTATCGTTATAGTCATGCTTCGGCACAAATCGACCAGTGACACCACGATTTTACAGACCGAACACAATCTGAATCTCACAGAATGACAAACCGGTGTTTAGCAATTCTTTCGTTGCCTTTCGTTGAGTGACTGATGTTACTAGAGCCCCAAACGCTCGTCCCCCTACATCTGGGAGGGAGACGAGCGTTTGGGCCGTTCTGAACTCAAAGGGCGGCAACGAACTTGTGGCTCTTAATTGCAGGTGATCCATCTACTCGACTGCAACTATATCATAAAAAAGTTCCAAGCCCCCTCTCCACCTCTAATGGAGGAAGAGGAGGAGGGAAGGCGGGGACAAAAAGGGTCGCAACGCACTTAAATCTCTTGAGTTGCAGATGTCCATGGGCAGCGGTAGTTATTTTCCAACAGGTCCCGTCTGTTCGTTTGCCACCTATTACATAAAAAATAAACTGTAAATTACACAACGTATTAAAAATAGTGGATAGAAAAATAAATTGTCAAAATGCGAGTTGAACTCGCGTAGTCTCTTGATGCTGGTTTGGTATGGTGAAAAATTGTAGTTGTCGATGAAATTCTCCCATCGGCCTAGTAAACAATCTTAGTAATAAATTATAGTTTGAAAAACACGCTTTTGTAACTAGCCGAACTAAGTAGAAAATAATTGTCTATAACATCAAAAAGAAAAATCGCTTATCGTAAAATGCGTAGGATGCTAGATCTCAATTGTAAAAATATTTTATTGACAGGTATTGGTAAAAATAAAGCTTTTATATTATAAAATTATTTCTTATTACTTTCTACTTTTAGTTCGGCTAATTACAAAAGCGTGTTTTAAGCTTTTCAAACTATAATTAATTTATGCTTTTTTAGTCAAAAATGATAATTGTTTTCTCGTTAAGACTAAAATATTACACGTAAGTAAGCACACGCCTCTTAGTACGTAGCAAGACACTACCTTATTTTAAGGTATAGAAAAAGTCGTAAATCCTGAAGATCCTGATCAGGATAATGGGGCAAATTTATCAAATTATTGTATTGTCATCGGTCCTTAATAAATGTGCAGTTTCAATTTAATTCGACGTTTTGAAGTAGGTCACAATCACGTTTGAAGACTTCGTTACATACAATCAAAAGCGGCCAAAAAGCTAGTAAAATAAGTATAATAATATTGGAGGATTTACCTAATAAATAACGGAATCAAGATACGCTACTAGTGAACTCAGATCATTGCATTGAACTTTGTGAAAAAAGATATTAGGTATGCCTATGGTTACTAGGTGCTACGAATAATAAAATTATTATTCGTAGCTAGGTGTCTAGTAATGTAGACAGTGACACGGTACCTATGTATATTACACTCACGTCGTATTGGATTTACTGCGGTACCTACATTATCTATAAATATAAAAGAAGAATTAACTAAGAAAGGATTTTTTTTTAATTCCAACCCTAAGGGTGCAAAATGGGGGTTGGACATTTCTATGAAGCTTCGTTATTTTAGGTAGTAAAGTATCGTCTACAATGTCAACCACAACGCGGACGAAGTCGCTGGCAAAAGCTAGTACCTAAATATGTGTCAACACCTTGTGTTAATCACTTTAAATATCCACCTAACATTTATTTTTATATTTTAATTCACTTTTAACATAAACAAATATTGTTATAACACTAGTTTAATATATTACCGGCGGTAGCCTAGTTTTTAAAGCATTGGACTTGCGATCAAGAGGTCGTGGGTTCGGACCTGATTAGTACACTACCGACGTGAACCCACTCCTAACACAAGAAATTTAGTTTAGCGGGAGGGATTAACTGGAATACTAGTAATTTCGGTTGCTAGTAGTATACGTGTGCGTTACCCCAGCAAAATAATGTCGAAAATGGTCATTTAAACTTTATAGATAATTAGTTGCTCCCCTTCTGTAATTGTTAGGCACATTTTTAAATTTGTTTCACTTAAACTTTTTTAGTTATTTCAAAAAAACATTTCCTGCTGGAGTAACGTTTGAAACGTTACCGCAGCCAGACATTTTCTTTTTTAATTGTAATATTGAAATAAATTTTAGCTAAATAATTAGTTATCTGGACTAGGTAAATGTTACAACTTATTTGGTATTTGTATTTTCTTCGGTTGCGAAGTTATTCGAAATCCTGCTGGAGTAACGTTTGTGGGTTTGCTGGATCTCTGAAACGGGTAAGCGGATTGTAACCATCATTTGTACATAACTTCTTAAGGATTAGTTTTAATTTGTTCGACAATAAAATAATAAAAATAATGGACCGTTTAAAAATTATTTAGGTAAGTATGAAAACACTTCAATACGTCCTAACACTTTAAATAAGCCCTCTAAAGACTTACTTGAAACGTTATTCTATTGCTTGTAACTACCCTACCTTCAAATGTATACGAATTTTCGTAAGAATACTGTAAGTGACTAAAAAGTTATGATGAAATGTAGCTCTCCACGTTCACGATCACAATGTGTGCGGCCTTTTTTGGCCACCGATAAACCTGTGTGTGAATATATAAACTGAATGTTATGCCAATAATTAGTTGTTTAGTTCAGTTGTCTACCTGTAAAATTTCAGCGTCGTACATATAACAATTTACGAGATAATTAAATAAAAGTCATTAGAAGGTGCAAGTCCGTGGTAATCCGACCATGTTTAGGTGGTTACAAAAAAGCGATCACCCAGTACATTGAGCTGTCTTTTAAAATGTTTAGTGTAATACACCTTACAATTTCGGTACAGTTGCGTACAGTGTTAAATACATTCAATATTTATTCATTATTATTACCTATTATTTATTTTGTTTTTTTCCCTAATTGATCTTAAGCACTTGTTTCTTTACTTAAAATTTATTTAGTCTTTTTTACTACCGGAGCTACAATCAACAGAAAATCTGCACTGGTCCGCTAAAATTATAAATATGTAGATACATGTATGAACGATTCACCTGACTGCAATAAAACGAAAATTTAAACCAATAAGAAATCGTTTCATTTCTTTGATTTTTTTTTGTAAAGAAATAACACTAAAGTAATTGTATTTTATTTTGGGGTGTATAGAGCTTAGACTTGAATGCATCAAAATATTTAAAGCAACAAGTCATCTACAATAAGTTAAAATAGACCGAATAGTAGAAGAATACAGTTGTAAATTAGAATGCATCAACATTGCATCGCCCAACAGTCGTATACCTCGTAAGAGTAGGTAATATTGTTCTGTGGTCTATACCTAGAACCGAGAATTATCTATACCTATGTACCTACCGTTAAGCGTTGAGCCCGTTACTGTTGATTTCTGTTAAAAACGAACAGTTGTTGAATGATATTTTGATATAATAACGGTAATTTAATTTATCGAGTGAAAATGATACATTTTTATAGATAAAATTATTGGTCAGATAATATTTGTCAATCAAGAATCGCTGATAATACATCCTTCGCTAGAACGCGGGAGGGGAGGGGCGAAGGGATACTTCATTGTTTGCCTTTTGCATCTAGTGCACTAAACTTGACCCTTAGGCAGATAATATACGTGTTGTAAAGTACGTGTGCGCTTCCGCTTCCTATTTTTGCAAATATTTATCGTATTCTTGAGAGTTCTTCAATATGTACACACATATTGAAGATTAATTAATTACTAATAATAGGCATTAATGCTAATTCGATTCAATTTAAGTAATTGTCAATTCTTGTCTTAGGATATTAATTACTAATGCTAATATTGAAATTTCGTTCAGGGTGAACAAATTAAAAACGATCATAACTTTTAGGTAGTTAGGTATATCACTTATTACTAATTTTACATAAATAATTTATTTTATTATAATTTAACTCACCGCGATTTTGTGATCAAATATTTTATTTTCTCCAACATTTTTACAGAAATAATGCAATACAGAGTTTGTTCGCGATATGCTAGCCTAAGTCGATTCATCACTTAAAAAATCCCCATCTATTCACAAAATACCTATTTACAACGCATACGTTACACTCTTCAAAACTTATCATTTCATTTCATATTTCTTAAATTACCTATACCTACCCTAAAATTAAACTTCAATTAACAAATACTACGCAGGTACCAATTCTATGAACAACTATAAACAATTCACCTAAACATTACGAGAAAACAAAAGCATTCAAAACAATACCTAATCTCCCGGCTGATTACTAATTATGCAATAAACAATCCTAAATAAAAAATATTTAAAAAACATGTAGTTTTTTGTAACACTTGTGTACATATCCGTAGTAAACTTCCAAATAATATCCTACATATTTTAAAAGCCAGCACAATGTACTGGGTGATCGCTTTTTTGTAACCACCTAAACATGGTCGGGTTACCACGGTCTTGCACCTTCTATAGTCTGTCAAGAAAGTCATGAAATTAATGTTTGTGGAACTAAAACTTCGG